GGCTACTGCAGAAAACATATCTTCGGTGAAGCCTACCAGAGTCTCTACTATCTATGGAGTAGGAGGAACTATTAGGCTCTTGGCTGGTGAAAATGTTTATACTTTTCTTTTTGTATTTTTGGTTTATGCTCAAATGGAACTTTGGCTCAGAAAATGAGATTTTTTCCCCCCATTTATAGGAACATATTTGCTCGTTATAACGTCTCGGAAGGAGGTTGGGACTTTCCTCGGTTTTCCCGTTTTTCGAGTTACGGCTATGAGATTTCTACCTTGCAATGACGCTTTGAGGTTTGCTACTTCTCAAGAAGTAAGGTTTTGTAAAGTTTAATAGATATTGGATTTTTATGATCCTAGTTAAGTTGTCTGAAGAAGCTTTTTCACTACTTGGAAATGGTGGCTTGTGCAGAAAAGGGACGACGCGTATTTTAAGACACTGTTACAATCACTTGAGGCAACCCCTGGATTGTATTTTTCATATGAAGCAGATCTAACAGTAAAGTAAGTTTCACTATTCGATGATATTGAGTAAACTGTGTCATTCTCTGAATGTATGCGATCCATCTTATAACTATAGCATATCTTACTGACTGTGAAGTTCCTCGGCTTTAAGAATATTTATTATATACATTCATCCAATGTTACAGCCTGCAAAGAAGGTGCAAGCTAGCGGAAGGTTGGACGCGTAAGCCCATGTGGAAGCAGGTTGGTTGCTCATCTGTTTCTTATCTTTACAAAAAGTATTTTCTTGGATCCCATTTTTTCGGTTAGTACATTGTTGTCTGATTTTAGTTCTTCGAGTTAAAGTTAGCTGAAGGTTTACTTGCTTGTCAGGCTGACCCTCGATATGTTTGGAACTGGCACCTTTTGGAGGAATTAATTGAATGCAAAGTAAGTTGTCGGATTTTAATTTTAATACTCTTCTTATTACATGTCAAACTTTAAAGATCTACTCTTCTCTTATTGTGGCAGCTGGATGGTTTTATTGTCCCTCTACTTCAAGGAAATATCCTTTTTCTTTACCCTTCTTAATCTTCTGTTTTGCTTCTTCTTGGACTGTTCATGTTGTGTCTTTCAAATGTGCATTTTAATAGAGGATTCTCCAATACGTGTTGTTTAAAATTAACCAATGGTTAAGTTACCAAGTTGCTGAACTACAGCTCCAGAATTCTCCTGCAGTGATATCGTTAATTTCCAGACGCTGTACACGGCGTCTAGGTAGGGTTTAATTTGTATAATTAATGCTGCTTGAAAATTAGGTTATAGGCATGTTTGTTGACAGTCAATGTTGGTATTGGCATCCCAGGTACACGTATGTGGAGAAGAGGAGCCAATCTTGAAGGGGACACTGCTAATTTTGTCGAATCTGAACAAATAGTGGAGATTAATGGTTTCAAGTTCTCATTATTGCAGGTATACCCCTTTTAGGAGGTCATTCCTGTGAATTGTCCTGATAAAGTGATGTCTTCTATTACTGTGCTGGTTCATTTGTTATATCTGTGGAATTGCATTCCTTGATGATACAAATGCTATGTGATATTTTCTTTCACAGCTCTGGAAAGTAGTATCCATTGTAACTCATTTCAGCTGAATGGTTACTGTTTTTCTAATTATGATGCGCTTGAAATTCACTGTTTCATCAATCTTTTGCTTCGTCTCTCTATTCAGTTTATACAAGGCACCTTGCTTTTTCTTTTGCTCTGTTTTTAAGGACCTCTATCATTTCTTACCAATTTTAACCGTCTTGCTAGGTTCGAGGTTCAATCCCACTTCTTTGGGAGCAGATTGTTGATTTGAGCTATAAGCCACTACTCAAGATAAATAAGCATGCAGAAACGGTAAGTTTTTATCACCTTGTTACCAGATTTGTTATACGCTGTCCAGCCCTCGACGTTGATTAGTTTACTTTCTGCCTCCAGCCGAAAGTTGTACAGCGCCATTTCCATGATCTTAGCCAAAGATATGGAGAAATTATGGCAGTTGACCTAACAGATCAGGTTGGTTTCTTTGTTCATCATTTCAGATAATAAAGTACTATGAAATCTGTGACATCCTAGCTTCAACTCTTAATGCGGTTGCTGTTATGCAATTTTCACTTGCTTACTTTCATTGTACGATTAACTTAGTTTCTCACATTTGACTACCTTAGCATGGAGATGAAGGTGAATTAAGCAAAGCATATGCCACCGAAATGGAGAGGCTTCCAAATGTAAGGTAAACGTCTGTATGCGTATTGACGCATTTACCTTCTATCCTTCACATTTCATAATTTGTGTATTTGGTTTTCGCTTGGGATATTGCTCAGCATTCACTGTGAAGTATTTCCGTTTCCTGACACTTCCTAATGTATTTGTCGTTTGTTTGGATGTCTTTCACCTTCGCTTGATTCAAAGTGCTCTTCGATCGTACACATCAAGTGGATTTAGAGATATTGATAGTGACAGGATTTTTTGACGCAGATATGTCTCCTTTGACTTCCATCAAGTCTGTGGAACTACAAACTTCGACAATTTTGGGGTATTGTATGAACAGATTGGGGATGAATTTGAAAAGCAAGGGTAAGCAGACAAATTATGGTTTTGGTTCTACTCGTTTCAGATCTAGACGCTGATATTGTTAGCAGTCTGATGTTGTTTGTTTGGTTCAAGTAATCTAGCTCCTAGCTGTGTGCAGAGAATTTTGTTTCAACTGCTACTAATCCAAGCTGAGCAGATATTTCCTTGTAGACGCAGACGATAACATCCTAGAAGAACAGAAAGGAGTTATCAGATCTAATTGCATCGACTGTCTTGATCGTACAAATGTTACGCAGGTGTGTTGAATTATTTCTTACCCTTGGTTTTTCATTTCTAATAGCCGTTTTGTTTGGTACTGTACCTTCTATATAAAGTAATACGGGTGGGGCGTGTAAGCAATGTTGGTAAAGCCCTCTTTTGTCTCATCTGAGCTTTTGGGAACTTGGCTGTGCATTTAAACTAATTTTTTTGTACAATGCTTCTGATTGCATTCAAAAACCTTTTTGCTGCATCATATGAAAAGAATTACATGGCCCAAAAAAGTCTGAATCTACAACTTCAGAGGATCGGAGTGTTTGATTCCACACAGTGTGTATCCATGTTTGAAGATGACTACACAAAGTTCAAAACAAGTAAGTGGGTTTTCACCATTTACAATTTAAATTACTTCTGTCTTTCATCAAAAGTTTATTTTCTTGGCTTCTCTAATAGTTTGGGCTGAGCAAGGGGACGAGATAAGCTTGCAATACGCTGGGACCTATGCTCTTAAGGGCGACCTTGTCAGGTGAGAAATGTCTTCTTGTGATCCTTCTAGAAACTGTGTCAAATGATGATCATTACATATTAGCAATATACGCTATGGGGTATTTTGGCTGCAGGTACGGGAAACAGACAATGTCTGGAGCAATCAAAGATGGCCTCAGTGCGATGTCCAGATATTATCTGAATAATTTCCAGGATGGTGTGAGGCAGGCAAGTTTCTTCTACGACCTAGTTATAAACTTATATAATTGAATCAACGACTAGATTGGAGGTAAAAGATGAGAGAAACTGAAGGTAGAGAAAACAAGAATTGAAAGAGGTATTCATTTTTTTCAGGATGCTATGGATCTCTTAAGCGGTCGCTACACAGTGGGTACAAACTGCCCTTTACAACTCCAGCTCAGTGGATCACAACCCTCTGTAAGTTCCTCCTAACCGCGAGAAACACAAATTAAAAACGGAAAGATGCTAATCGGAATTTGTTTGTTGTGGAAAGAAACAGTTTCTGCCTGTAGCATCAGCATTGTTGATAGGTGGTGTGACAGTAACATCTTTCACAATTCATCAAGGTAAAGGGTTTTGGTTCATATATACAACTATATAATCGAGTTGTGATTAAAATGATTTGTGTGTCGGGTGACAATAAACAGCGGGAAGAAACACGCAGCAGTATCTAGCATCGGCGTTGTGGGCAGGAGTGACTGCAGGAGTTGTGGCGATAATCAAGGCAAATGGAAGGCACTTGTGTTCTAAACCTCGTCTTTGCCATCTCATTTGATTCTTTCTTCTTATCAATTTAGAGATTCTGTGCGTGTGTCTCTCTCACAATCTTCTCTCAAAACCCACGGCTCTCTCTTTCTTGTTGAACTTCCGTGCAAGCTTCAAATTGTAGAAGCCCATTTTACTGAACTTTTGTTGTAATAATTGTAATAATTCAATTGGTTCTATATATTCCAAAATCAAATTTAGTCTAATTGATCAATCTCGGTTATTTCTTGTCGATTTTTGACCAGAAACCAAAATTTCATGGGTGTCCATAAAAACCCATCAACATAATATGGGTGACACTGAACTAAATAGTTCAGTGGTATGTAATGGTAAGTATTCTAAGCTTATTGGTTGGTGGTAATGTCATCACCGTTGAAAATTCAAACCCGATATCATAATGTTGTTGAACAAAAGAAATCGACATTGAACAAAAATTGTTAATTATTACTTCATTGAATTAGTAAAACGTTAACCAAATGATGTTCACTATTCCCTCATTGCAACCAATCCATTATTGCAACAAATTTTATTGTTTCTCCAGTGCGTGCAACCAGCCCTTAAGCTTTTAGGTCAGATTATTTGCCACACTTGGTGGATGCTGTTCTCCAACATAACATTATCAATAGTAATTAACAGACAACAACAACCACTGCACAACTTTATTGTCTTATAGACGGCTTCGAGTAGCCGGTTTGAAAGCTGCAAGCCCCGTTACTTCCCTCCCCGTCACTAAGGTGTTTATATCATAAGTCCCTTCGTATGTATAGATGGGTTCAAGGTCACAGAAAGCCTGCAATTTTTTCACACTTTTAGTACTCAACTCGAATCTTTTTCCACTAAATATCCAACCAAGTCAGATATGAAGATTAGCTCACCTTTGCCACCAGAAAGTCCGCTAAAATTCCATTCCCACCGAGTAATTCCCGACCTAGCGAAGCAGTTTCTCTTGCTTTCGATGTAATCCATGCCTAGTAGAGTAAAAATATTGGTTATGTATCCTGACTCAGCTCAGATATAATGTCGACCTAACTACATTTGGATAGAATAATCCCTTATACGATTATCTCTATATACATGAACATTAGCTTTGCCCCCAAAATCAAGTAATTTTCTTCTTCTTCGTATTGCTAGCATACTGACTATATAATTAGACACCAGATTTCTCTATATCAAATAATCAACAAAGAGAAATTTGAGTTTTTTTAAAGCAAAAAAGGATTTGTTGTTATACCTTTCCTAAACTGGCTTGACCTGGAGTCATCTGACCACTCTCATATAGCTTGCAGAGGCGCCAACCCATTAGAAACATCGCTTGAACATTACCCAGCATCTGCACAAGTTTCTGTTGGTTTAACTGGAAAGCAGCCAAAGGTGCTCCAAACTGTTTCCTCTCCTTCAGATACCTTGAAACAATACACATTAACTGGGAATTGTCTTATAAGTAACGAGATTAATGACATTTCGGCTGTTTCCCCGGAATACCTGTGACACATATCGTAGATTCCCATTGATATGCCGATTGGTTGCCAGGCCACCATTACACGTGAGACAGCCAGGACCTATTCAAGTGAAGTATAAGACAAACAGTTAAAAGTCATGAATGACATTTATCTTGCGATAAAATATTTAAGAGCATTTCTGGGTCTGTGGGTCATGAGGAATCATCACAACAGTACCTTGCTAGTGTCTTGAAAAGAATTTACCCCAGGTAACCGATCCTCATCCGGAACAAAGACATTCTGTAGTAGAATATCTCCATTTTGAACCATGCGTAAACCTATTTTATTCGGGATCTTAGTAGCCTTTAAGCCAGGCGCGTCTTTCTTGACTATGAATCTGCATGACAGTTGCTGAGATTTTCTTAACGCAGAAAATATAGTCTAATATATATAAAATGAATGAGGAGCCATGTATATGGAATAAACACATTTGTCCAGACTCCAGTATGTTCTTGATGACGGTCCATACAAAATTTATTATTCAGTACATCCAACTGTAGAGCTGCCTATTTAGCATTCTCTTGAAAAATGGAATTTAACATCTATCATAAGTAGAAATCAAGAGCCACCTCATTAGCTTAGTTTTTGGGAAACGACCTTTACACCTAAGATACAAAATCTGAGAGATCTACGACACCTAAAAACCTGACATACCCATTGATTTGGTTAGTTGTCGTATTCCTAGCAAAGATGAGCAACAGATCTGCAAAGGTGCTGTTTCCAATCCAACGCTTTTGTCCCTCAATTATCCATCCTCCATCAACCTGATGAAGTAGACAATTGAAACAAGTCCAAACAATGAAACATTCCAGAAATTGCATAAGTAGAGCAGGAAATGATACAAGTAACTCAATACAAGAAGAGAAGCTTGCCACACCTTTGTGGCAGTTGTTCTTAGACCACTTGCATCGCTTCCATTGTCGGGTTCTGTCAAAGCCTTTATACAAGTCCAATTTATGTAACGGTATCAACATCAGGTTTCTATAAGACAAACTTCAACAAATCGTCTAAGTCCAAGTTGCACATACTCACCCAACAAGCCACAGTCTTCAATTGAGCCAAAGAAGGCAAATACTGCTGCTTCTGTGCTTCTGATCCACAAAGTGCTATTCTTGACAAAAATCCGAAGAAATTAAGCTTATGCAAATCTTAGTATGGTGTTAATCAGAACAATTGAATATAAAACAAGCTAAGAAAGAAACATAAGGAGGTCTTACCAATAGTGAGCATGCCCAAAGAAGAATGCACCAAAATAAAAGTCGAAGTGCTTGCATCAACTCTAGCTATTTCAGCTGTTGCAACTGCGTTGGCGGTGATGGAGAGGCCAGGACAGCCATAACCCTAAGAAGTCAAACCAAATCAATGTTGAACATTCGTTCCATGTAATCAAACAAGAACCCACCGAGACGAGCATTGCAAATTACCTTGATCGAGCCGCCAGCAACACCCATAGCTCCAAGCTTAGGAACGATATGGAATGGAAATTCTGCCTTCTCCCAGTACTGACGAGTAAAAATCAAAGGAAGAACGATGATGTAACGCTACTATTCCATCAAACTAAACAAAAAAAAAGAAAACATCTCAAACATGAAGATAGACGTCTACCTCAGTCATTATTGGGGCAACTTCTTTCTCCATGCACTCCCTCACTTTCTTCCGGATGGCTTGTTCCTCCGGAGTCAATAAATCATTGAAATGATAATAGTCTGAAGCTGTAACATCAACCAGAATAGCAAAACATATGAGCCAAATGCACAATAAATCATCCAAATGTATAACCTCTGGAAGAAACAACGATTGAGTAATCCTTACTGCATGGTGGAAACTTCGATGCTGGAGTTGCTTGAGGAAATGCTTCAGACATGTCCATAGCTGGCAAATCAAAATATGAACTCTTGACCTTCTTCTCAGTATTATCTGCACAATAATAATTTTTCCTCTGATCATTGAGGTTCCATCAAATCTATAAAATCTTCAGTCTCTCCACCAAATTGCTCAATTTCCTCAAGTGTCATGAATCAAAATCAAAATCCATCAATAAATTCCCTTTCCAATTCCTATATCCTACCGATTCCATAAGCAATCATTTACAAATGAAACAATCTCCGAAATTTGAAATCGCAAAACTAACACTCAAAACACAAGTATATTACACGTTCGATCGATTATCAACACATAAATCATCCAAAAACTCGTCCATTTCTCGAGAATT